GAACGCGCCTTCCGATTGGTCCGTGCCGCGCCGGGAGGCGGGCGTCCCTCAGCCCTCGGGGAGGGGCCGGAGCCGAAAGAGGCGGGATCTTTGGGGTGGGGGCGCTTCTCATTGGGCGCCCGGGATGAGGTTCTTTCTTTCAGAATGAAAGGGAGGAGGGGTCGCTGGGGAGGCGGAGCGGCCGTCCGCCATGGCCAATTATAATTGCTCTGGGGTCACATCAATCACAGCGAACGGTCTTGGGACTGGGGGATTGGCGAAACCGGGCGGGACCAGAAGTGCCAGGTGTACAGAAAGATTCGCCCTGGGTTCCCAGATTGGGTCAACCTGTGAGACCAGGAGGCTCGCGAGTGCACTTCGCGTTGCCCGAAAATGCCGATAGGAGATGCAGCTGCTCGTTTTAGGCTTACAGAGAAACTGTTCCTAAACCATTTTCCTTCCAGAAACACGGGGCAAGGGGACACACATTTTCAAACAAATGCACACTTTGAGAGTGGCATGGCCTCTGGGCATCTGTCTTCTCTAAAAGCTGGCTAAGCATCCAAATCACCAGAAGCACCCCCTCCTCCCCCCGAAAAAGTCTTATGTAGCACAGTGATTGGTGTCTGCATTTGCTGGGTCTTAGTTGGAATCTCCCCTCAATCCCTTAACTGGTTGCAGAACCTTAAAAGCAGCTCCCACCCCTCCAACCCTGTTTTTAGCTTCAATCTCCTCTGCAAAGTGGGGGCGATTATAGCAACTACTTCACATGGCTATGAAGACATAAACTGAGAACATGGATTTGTAAAAACACTTCGCACGCTGCCGAGACCCAAGTAAGTTCTTGCAAAGAGTTAGCTGACCTTATTACAGATTCGTACCTGTCCCAGATGAAGCGTGAGTCAGAACCTCTTGGAAGGAGCTCAGATACCTCTTAATCTCCAGGTGACTGGCCAGACTTGGGAACCATGGTCCGATAAAAAATAAACTGAAACATATTAAAAATTTTAAGAGTTTGCAGTATTTGAGCGAAAATTGATTCAAATCCGGAGGCGTCAAACCAGAAGTGGTTAAGAATGCTCCTCGAAGTGGGCCAGGGGAAAGACTTACATAGAGAACTTGCCAGGAGCAAAGAAAGGAAATTGATTGGCTATTGCTTAAAGGCTAGTTGGCTGTTTGTGATTGGTTGTCTTTAGCGTTTTGATTTTGTAACCTTGAAGCATTTACAGGTTTCAATTTTGGTTTGTTTTCCTAAACCATCACTGCATTAAAGCCGCTTTAGTCTAATGGCCTCCTTGTTGAATTATTTTACCAAGTCTTAAAGATGATCCTGTCCCCAAACCGCCCTTCTCACCAGGTGGATAAAATAAAAACCAGCTTGCAAACGACTGACCCAAGTCTCCAGGTTCCACACAGGATCAACTGGAGTCCTGCTCTCTCACTGTATCAGTGTCTCTGACTAGAGAGGGGAGAGTGATAGAAAAAGTGATTTGTGAGTGTTATGTCATCCCGTTCTACAAATAATGTTTGCGTACTCATGAAAACGCCAGGCACTGGGGACTTTAGGAGAGGAAGCTGAAGGTGGAAAAGATGCATTCTTTGTGTCAAGAAACTTCCACGTTGGTTAGGGAGCCAGGCTGCTCAAGGCGCAGAGCAGAGTGGAGACTACAGGAACCTCTAGTTTCTGCCCCAGAATCAGGGTATTCAAGGATCTCAACTCCCCAGTGATCCTAAGTACTAATGATGTGTGGCAATGTCATTTACAGAGGCATAAATTTGTATCACCTATGAGTCAACATATTATCTAGTACTCTGTCATCCTTCAAAAATGATGAAAAAGGAAGTCTTGTTTCTTTGTGAAAATGGCCTTCCGCAGAAAGACAAAACACGTGTGTTAGGACAGAAGCGGAAAGAACGTGCTGAAACCTCAGAAAGCAATGTTTCTTAAACAGAAAATAGGAATTTTGAACAAATAAAGAGGAAAATGTAGACTTCAGCAGTGGACCAGAGTTAGCTCTTCATTCAGTTAAAAGAAATTATGAAAAGGTGATTCACAAAGCACTCTGAGCAAGCTACAAATAACTTTACATCTTTATAAATAACTTTGTGTCTGTGTTTATCTAATTATTATGTAGCATCCAATTTGGGGATTTGATAAGGTCTCTGGACATCTTTTACATTTGTCAAAGGGCTCAGGTGCTTGAAGTAAACAAGCTTATCTTGTACTTAATAATAGTCTCTTAATTATCCCTTATATTTGTATGACACATTATAGTTTTTGAAGTGCTTCCACATACATGATCTCATTTGTCCTCTGAAACCTGCTGGGAGGGAGGCAAGGCAGAGATTATTGTAACAGAAGAATCTGGGTCCCAGGAAGCTCATGCCGCATGTCAGGGGAAATACAGTTGGAAACCTGACCCAGTGTATTTCCCACGTGCAGTATGAAATGGCTGAAAGCATGAGAACTTTGAAGCTTGGCTCTACCGCCTACTAGCTATGTGACCTTGAACAACTCGCTTAACCTCTCTGAGACTTAGTTTCCTTATGTGTAAAATCAGGAAAAAATAGGGCTGTGATAAATGTTGAATAAGCTAACATATATAAAGAAGGCCCTAACACGTAAGGGACATTCAGTAATTTCTAACTTTATTATCATTATCATGGAGCTTTAGGGATCCAGTGCTAGAAATTTAGAACAATAATACTGGCATGATGATGAAGAATCCATAAGGACAATACACTGTATGATATTAAAATCTAAAACCTGGGGAAAGATCAGGTTAAATAAATTAAGGTACAGCCATATAGGTGAAATAACATACAGTTCCTAAAAATAAGCAAGACCAAAATTTGTAAACAGATGACCACCATGTGCTTAAAGATTGGTCGAGGGATGGGAGGGGTGGCCTGAATGTTCTTCCCAACTTGTGTTCAATTCCACCTCCTGAGCTAAGGGGCAGCCAGTAGGGAGGATCCAATGGCAGGGCCTGGAATGCATATGTGGAAGAGTGAGCTTCTCCGGAATCTCTAGAAAAGAGAACAGCCACAGGACTCTCAGTCTCCAGCTGGGTGGGAGTGAGGAGATTAGCAGCTCCAAGGTCTGGGATAAGGCCCAGGAATCTGGGGTTCCCAAAAGGAATAAACTCCCCTTTACTCCTATGAATGTAGTCTCCGTGTGATGTCTTCTCTGGCCTGGGGAGAATGTGGGAGAGCTGCATGGGCAAAGGGGCTGAAAGATTTCCCGTCTCTGAGAATGGGAGCTTGCCAACAGCCACAACTGCTGAAACGTGGGAGCTTCCTCTCTGTGCTCACAGAGAAGCAACATCTTGCCTGTTAGCTCATATTTCATCACTATAAAGAGACTCTCAGAGCTTTCCCTGAAAGCCAAAGGGTTCTGAGCGGGAAAAAGGAAGTCTGAATGAGCTTAAGGGAACCGAGGTGCTAGAGAGAAGAAACAAACATCTCAACTAATGGTAAATGGATGAAAGCTTTACATCATCACCATTACCACCACCACTACTATCATCATCACCACCATCACCACCACCATCATCATCACCACCACCATCATCATCACAACCATCACCACCATCACCATCACCACCACCACCATCATCACCATCACCATCATCATCATCACCATCATCACCATTAATATCATCACCACCACCATCACCATCACCACCACCATCACCATCATCATCATCACCATCACCACCACCATCACCATCATCATCATCACCACCATCACCATCATCATCGTCACCATCACCACCACCATCACCATCACCACCACCATCACCATTAATATCATCACCACCACCATCATCATCACCACCACCATCATCATCACCACCACCATCATCATCACAACCATCACCACCATCACCATCACCACCACCATCATCATCATGATCACCGTCATCATCACCACCATCACCATCATCACCATCACCAACATCACCATCATCATCATCACCATCACCATCACCATCACCACCACCATCATCACCATCACCATCATCATCATCACCATCATCACCATTAATATCATCACCACCACCATCACCACCACCATCACCACCACCACCACCATCATCATCATGATCACCATCATCATCACCACCACCATCACCATTAATATCATCACCACCACCATCACCATCATCACCACCACCATCACCATCACCACCGTCACCATCACCACCACCATCACCATCATCATCATCACCATCACCATCACCATCACCACCATCACCATCACCATTAATATCATCACCACCACCATCATCATCATCACCATCACCATCACCATCATCATCATCACCACCATCACCATCATCATCGTCACCATCACCACCACCATCACCACCACCATCACCATTAATATCATCACCACCACCATCACCATCACCACCATCATCACCATCATCATCACCACCATCATCATTCCACTTTAGGAGAGCTGTTCATGGTGTAAAATGGCATTGTAGGGGCAACTGGGTGGCATGGTTGGTTGAGCATCTGACTTTTGGTTTTAGCTCAGGTCGTGATCTCAGGGTCATGAGATCAAGCCCTGCATCAGGCTCTGTGCTCAATGCAGAATCTGTTTGAGACTCTCTCTCCCT